TGCTGAGCACGCTGGTGGGCAACGCGCTGGTGTGCCTGGCCGTCCTGCGCTTCCGCCACCTGCGCGCCAAGGTCACCAACTGGTTCGTGCTGTCACTGGCCGTCTCGGACCTCTGCGTCGCCCTCCTGGTGATGCCCTGGAAGGCAGTCACTGAGGTGGCTGGTGGCTCCTGGCTCTTCGGCAGCCGCTTTTGTGACACCTGGGTGGCCTTTGACATCATGTGCTCCACTGCCTCCATCCTCCACCTCTGCATCATCAGCCTGGACCGGTACTGGGCCATCGCTAGCCCCTTTCGCTATGAGCGCAGGATGACGCAGCGTCTTGCCTGTGCCATGATAGCCGTGGCCTGGGCCCTCTCCATCCTCATCTCCTTCATCCCAGTGCAGCTACACTGGCATAAAGCCAAGGACATGAGATATCCAGGCTCCTGGTTGCCTGGGACACCCCGCTGTGAGGTCAGCCTGAACCGTACTTATGCCATCACCTCCTCCCTTATCAGCTTCTACATCCCCGTGGCCATCATGATCATCACTTACACCAGGATCTACCGGATTGCCCAGGCCCAGATCCGCCGCATCTCCACCCTCGAGCGAGCAGGGGGGCAGTGGCCAGCTCACGGCAAGGAACCCACCTCCTCTTTGCGGAGTTCCTTGCGGAAGGAGACCAAGGTGCTGCAGACCCTTTCTATCATAATGGGAGTCTTCGTTTGCTGCTGGCTGCCCTTCTTCCTGCTCAACTGCCTGCTGCCCTTCTGCCAGCCCGAGCTGGGGAATGACCACGAAGGGCAGTCACCCTGTGTTGGCCAAACCACCTTCAACATCTTTGTGTGGTTTGGCTGGGCCAACTCCTCAGTGAATCCAGTGATCTATGCTTTCAACGCAGACTTCAGGCGGGCTTTCAGTAACCTGCTGGGCTGCCGGTGCTTCTGCTGCAGCACACCCAGATCCACTGTGGAGAGGGTCAACTTCAGCAATGAGCTGGTTTCCTATCACCATGACACCACCTGCCAAAAGGAAGGAGCTGCCTCATCATCAGTACCCCCCACTGCTGTCACTGCCTGGGTGCAGCCTGTGCCCCATGCTGTAAGCCTTCAGGGAGAGGACAGCAGCGAGGAGATGCCGTTGGAGAAGAGGCCTGTGACTTCTCAGACACAGGCTGCCCCCGGCAGGGCTGCCCCTGGCAGCAGCCCCAGGAGTCATCAGGTGCCGGCCGTTTTGCAATTTGATTGCGAGGCAGAGCTATCCCTGGAAACTATTACCCCCCGTACGGGGCTCGGTCAGTGCGAGGGACCCCATCACCCTGTTCCAGAGGGATAAGTGACTGCACGTTTCTCACGCACAGGCATCCCACCGGGGGAGTTGACTCTGCCTCCACGTAAGTTAAACCCATCCCCCAGCAAAACCAGTCCCATCCCAGAGGGATGGGGACCTGCTGCTCTTACCCCAGAGGGTTGACAGGAATATGAAGTCTATCCCAAAAGCATATAGCAACCTCTTCCCATGGCCACCTTCACCCCTTGCTCTCTTTCACAGTCGGTAGACATTTCCCATGCATTTGTTCACCCCTCCACTTCAATCAAACTTGTGATATTTATTAGTAATAGTGAGATAATTAGATCAAAATAAAAACAACTCATAGTTTGAGACACTATAATATAGCCTGATATAGATAAGTTAATCTTAGATTTATCTTCATTGCTAAAACCCGTTTTTCCTCCCTCTCATGGTTTCACATTGTACGTGTGCATAGTTCTGGTCTTAAAGGTTTGTGTTTGGTTTTACTTCTGTGTTTATTTCAAAGCTGCATGTCTGAATTTACATGTCTGAATCTCTGTTTAGGCTCTTAAATAAAAATTGCTCTATTAAAACATCGCTATCTTATGATCAGTCAAAAGACTGCTCAAAACTCTGGAAAATTAAGTTGCTTTTATGTAGGACCCCAAACACGGTTTCAGGTGCCAAACTTTGTTATCCAGGCTTAATGGTACTGAGCTAGGATCTTCCTCACCCTCAAATGTTAGAAAATGTAGTATTGCATTAGGCTGAAGTTACAGCAGGATGGTGTTTGAGAACTAACATTACAACTCCAGAGCAATTTAAGCTGCTATCAGCTGAGGTAGCTGCAGTCCTTCTTTCTCCTACTAGTTCAGGCAGCCAATCTTTCCAGAAAGCAACCTGGTCCACAAAATAAAAAGTGACCAGGTCATCTCTCTGAACCCATTTTACTACTTGTAGACATGAACAGCAGCAAAAGGCAGAGCAAATGGGTGTTGGATGGCTTGCAGGAGAGAAAATACTGGGGGAACCTGACGATCATTTCTGTATGTGTAAAAGGGTTCAGCAAACATTGAGGGATTACAGCGGCACCTCACTGTCCTCCACTTCTCTATCCATCACTTAGGAGTTCTGCTGCTGACCATTTAATACTGTGCTCCACTAGCCACCATCATCACCCCATTTTTCTGTCCTTCACCTGTGATTGAGTTGATTGACCTTGATTCATCTAAGGAAGATGATGAAGATGTCCAGAAAGAGACATTAAGAATGCTTACACTGCAAGAGTTTTCTTGGACATTCAGTCTTACAGATTGCATAGCTGATATCATTCAGAACAGTGATCCCTGCTGAAAAGCCAGCTGCTGAAACCCAAACTCTCCTCTCAGTGACCCTGCTCCTGCTCCCCGTGAATTTAAATCATGCGTAGTTCTTAAGTCCCTCTACACGTTTCTCTCCATCACATTAACTCTTATGGGGAAAATTGCTTTTGCTACTCTGCTCTTTTCAGGAATGTGTCCGTGATGGATAGTTGGGTGTGACTGTAAGCTGTTCTTCATGGCCAAGACTAGCAGGACAAGTGGTAATGGGCTTAACTGTAAGAGAGACCAAAACTTCAGAAAAACTTCCTAAGAATAAAGATAGTTAAGCACTGGGGTAGATTGCCTAGGGAACTTATGACATCTCTCTCAGTAGAAGTCTTTAAGATGACATTGCTAAACATCCGTCAGAAATGACATTGTCATTGTTAATCCTGTCTTGGGGCAGAGGCATCGCGTAATGGTCTCTTGAGATCTTTTCTAGTCCTGCTTCACTATGACAATATGACTCCTTAAGAACAGAGCTTAAGATTAAGCTTAATGGGATTTTTTTGGATGCAATGATCCTTAGCTATTTTCTTGAAGGCAGAAAAGCACACAGATAAGAACTGTGAGGCCCCATTGGTGTATTGCCCTTCTTCTCTTAGTGATTAGCCACTTTTCTTAGCATTTAAGAATTATTCAGCATTCCTAGTGCCTCATCTGGAGAGCAGTCCTGAAATAAACCTAGTTTTTCCTTAAAAGAGATATGAGATCTGTGGTTTTTATTTTTATTTCCTTTGATTATTATTTTCTAGGTGATCATACGTGAACTGTACATATGGTCATTCAGATGCCAAAGGATCAACCAATTTGTGAGAGGATTTTTCTTGCTATATTTCTCCCTTCTTACATAAACCAGAAAGACATATTGTAAGAGCGTCAGCATCTTTCATCTCCTCCAAAAAACCAGGATTATATCTTAGAGCTGTAAAAGACTTCTCGTCTCACCCCCTCCACACTAAAACCCACCCTGGGGATATACTGACACACCTGATAATACACTATCCTGAAGTGTGACTCCCTCGCTGCCTGCTACGCTTCTGTTTCTGGTTGCAAGAGCTTCAGCTGGCTCCATCCCGCAGAGAGTTAACTCTCCCTGCCCACCCACATCTTCCTTCTTGTGGGCAGGCAGTCTTCCGGCAGTCAAGGCCACACATGAAATTGTTATGCACAGCAGCTCTTTTTTTTAGCGTGTGTACAGTCTCATTATTAGTGATAAAACGTGTTAATTAATGGAAGGGAAAGATTGACCTTCTCACAAGGTTTGCCCTGCCTGTGGGAGCTGTCTCACCCAAGGAAGCAGTCTGGACTTAATACATAGTGATGAAAACTTAGTGTACGACAGAGTGGGTTGTGGGAATTAAGCAATGAATACATTTGAATAACATTTTCCCTCAAGAATAATCAGAACTGCATGTTAGCTTTGATTTATGAAACTATAATTGTGTTAAGAACAGAAAAAGCTATTTGTATCAGTGCTTGTGGCTATAGTTTAAACAAGGTTCAGTAATAGGTCAGATTGTACCTGAAAATAAATGGATATTTACCGGCAGAAAAAAACTGGTCCTTACTGAAGCTTTTTAAGGGGACAATTTAAAATTGCTCTTTGTAAGTGATTCTGGAAATAATTGTACCTAATTGATAATGGTCGTTACTGATGTGCAGATGATACACATTACAATAGTTTACAGCTGTAAGGTCCATTGTAGTAAGTGCAGTGTAATGTTCAAGATGGCAATAAATTTCAGAAATTGCATATTATAAATTGTTTATACTCATTTTAAGTGGCATATTACTGAAGGTACTTCATATGAAAGCTACACTGCATAGGCCTTCAGACTAGATCTTCTGCTGTTGCTGATTTCATAACACATGAATATTGATACTGTATGTATTTTTATTTTCCTAGACTGGGAAGTCTCCTGAATGTTAAGCATACTACAGATCACGCAGTCCTGTGAACAGTAAATGAGCAAGACTTACTTCCCCAAGAATTTTTTCTAGTGATTCACGGTGGTTAGCATTATTAGGCTCAAGTCTGATGAGGTATATTAAAATTATTACAAAAAGCCAAAGGTTTACTTCAACAGAAATTTAGAGGCAACATTATTTCCTAATTACACCGTTGCAGTCACTCAAAAGAAACAGCTTTGGAAGCAAAACCTTGGCAGCACTTTGTTACCCATTTCTGGGTCACAACTTTCTTGTCTCAGCAGGACAAAATGCAGCACAAATGGTGAAGGTATTTTACAGAGATCGACAGCTATTCCTCAAACACACTTTTTGTAACTCAGCTCCTCAAACCTACGTATGACTTTAGGTATTCACCACAATATATGTAAGGGTATTTCACTGACTGAAAGCAGTTCACTTCCATGCCTAATAGTTCCGCATTTACAATACCATTAACGTCACAGTGACCTGAAAAATAGCTTTTAAACAGCCTTGGTGTCAAAACAGTCCAACCTTACGGATACCTTATCTAAACGCTCTTATTAGCCAATGTCTAAACATCCGAATCAAACCATGTTCCAGTTCAGCGAAGTACAAGTGGTAGGGCTTTATGATGTATACCAAACGCCTCCTCTGTTCAAGTAATTCCCACTCCCTTTCCTTCTGCCAGTCTATGAAGTTCTCAGCAAGCTACAGGTCCTATTTCTTTGTTGCACAACTGAAATGAATACAAACTTCTTGTGGTCAGTTAAAAGCTTATGTGGCTGAGCTGCCATGGCAGCCCTTCTCGCTATTACACTGCACGTGAGAAATAGGGATAACGTCTCTGTAGCCTCCTTGGGTGGCCGTAGAGATGCTGAGCCAGCTGAGAGCTTTCCCTTGCCGTCCCATTTCTCTGAAATTGTTCATTGGGTTTAAAAGTTAATCATGGGGATAAACAGAGATGTGCATGCACGTGCGCATACCTTCTTAGACAACTGGGCTAAAAAGTAAACAGCATTTGTCCTCCAGGAAAAGGAAACATAAGATTCAAGGCAGAGCTGGAGATACAGCAAGGCAAGGGCAAGAACTCCTTCCTCATGAAAGACCAAGGCTGGTTGCCACAACCCTGTGTGCCAGCGGTGCCAGCAGAGGTGCCAGGTGACACTTCCCTAACCAGGCATCGGGGGGTTGGTTCTAAGACCAAAAGTAGTGCCACCAGTTACACGCAGCACCTTTGTAGCAGGAGGCAACAGAAGGACAGCAAAGATGCGTTTGAACGCCGCGTTGATGCAAAGTTTCATCTTGTTTTCGAAGCGACACTTTTAAAAGTTTAACTACAACACTCGCGCATCCTTGACATTACACTTACATTTTTGTGTTCTCTTGTTTACTGCTTATCTGTTTTCCTGTCATTTTATTTATATAGGGCTTTATTTTGCATTACACACAGACTTTCAGGAGATCACCTTTGACTTTAGGAAGCTTGTCACAGCTGCAGCGCTGCCTCTACACAAATCGGTTCCAGGAACGAGAAGGCACTGAAAAAGCCTGTGCCACTTGGCATGAGAAAACATAAAGCCTTGGGACAATTTACAATTCAAACCGTAACAACAGAAAAAGACATCCTCAAAGAAACTCCCCATTAGCAAAATCCTAATACGCAAAACCTAAAAAGGTTAGATTTTCTCCCAGCCTCCCCCTCCCCTCAGATTAGAAGTCTACCCGTGTATCCAATCTGCAGGGAAA